TTTTCAAGTCTAGTCTTTAGTTTTCTCCTTGCCCAGATGTTCACTTTGGAGCAAGGTCTTGATCCTACTATCAGTGTTTGATCTAGGCTGATTGATTAGATTAGAAAAAAGCATAATTTTTTCCAGGGACATTTAGACACTGATACTTTTTTGTATATTTCTCCTGATGTGTGCTTTGTAATAATACTTTGAAAAGCTGCTTGTTTTCATGGTTTGAAATTCACTACATGGCCAAGAAAGAGAGACAGGTGTATTTATTTTAATCATATGAACCACTATCATTATCAATTAATTGTGTGGCTCATTAAGGTAATTTTGTACACCTAATTTACTTTAGGTTTGCCATAGCAAAGGGTTTGAATATTTACACAATAATGACTTTTCACTTTTTCTTTCACATCAAATACCTATTTAAAAACTATGCAAGAGTCTGAATAACTTTGTAAAGCAACATGTTAGACCAGTGTGAGGTGCTGAACTGTATTCACATTTGTGCTCTGAAACAAATAGATAGATAATACTTTATTAATCCCGTATGGAAATTGATGAATACTGATAAATACTGTATGTTGCTAAATTTGTAAATACTATCTTCAAGCTTACGTGCTTGCCCTCGCACGTAGGGGATTTGTGCCTAAAATGGGGCAAGAATAAGCACACTTTCAATAAGGAAGCATTCATTCCAGGGTTAACTGCCTCACAGATTGTGGATATTTTTTTGGAGTCCTTCACTGTTTTATGAAGAAGTGCAAACAGTAAGATCTTTGTAAGTAGGGTTCCATGACTGAAGTATATATTATAGATATGACACAACAAATATGACTAGAAGAAAAGAAAGAACACATTTGATAGAGGCACTGTATTTGTGTAACTCTCAGAAATACAAATAACATAAAATAAGCCAACCCTAAGGTAAATTCTCAAAATAATAAGTTTATTTGGCCTCTGTGTTGTGCAATGGTTGAGCCTCTCAGTAAACTACAGTTGTATGGGTTATATCACAATAAAGGGGTGGACGTTGTTTTGCAAGAATGTATACTGTACATCCATACATTTTCTAACCATTTTATCCAATACAATGTCTCAAGGGAGCTGGAACCTATCCCAGCATGCACTGGGAGCAAGGCAGCATACAGCCTGAAGAGGATGCAATTCCAACACAGGGCAGACAGACACAAAGGCACACACACACCAGGCCCAGTATGTCTTTGTCTTTGTGGAAGGAAACTGGAGCACCTGGAGGAAACCTACAGTACATGAACATGGTGAGAAAATACAAACACTCTGTGAAGATTGCACCCCAGGAACTGAACCCAGGACCTGAGCGATGCAACACCATGCTGACCCAAATTTATATATCTTGTCTCAAATTCCTTTTCTCTGGTATTGAAACGAGTGTTATTATTCACAATACTTTTGTAAATCCTTCAGTCTAGACACAGACAATAAAATCCTTGATTGCAGATGTCTTTGTGCAAGAATACAGGACATTGGTTCATTGGACTTTATGTGAGCCATTTTAATGTATATGAAAGTTTAATGTTTCTTTTAACTCCCTCATTTATACCTGCCATGATTTGTTAAGAGAATGTAATGGGCAGATTAAACCAGATCTTTTACCAGTGGGTTATAGAACACTTGTGTGTATTGGGTTCTTCTAAAGCTCCTCACATTGTGGTTCAACTATGTAAGATTTCTGAATGGGTGGATATATTTTTCCTTATCTAAAGATAAGCAATAAAGAACATAAGACAACATTGTAAACAGGTCAGAGTGGAGAGATGTGTCAGCAGCTGCAAATTGACAAGGAACAAATACAGTCTGATTCCAGACTGAAGACCAAAAATAATAAAACAGAATTTCATATATGTATCTTCTTTCAGCTGGTGTAGAGATGTATGTGTAGGTGTATGAGGTAAGGGGTGAGAAAGGGATGAAAAAAAACATATGCTTGTCATTAGATTCTATTTCAGTGCACTGGGAATCTTAGGGTATTGTCACAGATAAACTTCTGTCACTCAGAAACAACATTATTGATGTGGAATTCCATGCTTTCTAAGGTCAATTCTGAAAGTACAGTATATTTCCAGCACCTGTTATACAGTAAGAGCAATGAATAAGAGCACCTAAGTCAGGCAAGTTTATGTTTCTATTCTTCTCCAGCTTCTTATTTTTTCATCACACCTTTTATTAACAAGCTAACACTTTTGAAAAGTGAAATCAGTCTAGTGGGACATCCAACTTTCAAATTATTTCGCTTGGTTGAAATAGAATTTTAGGTTTGAAAAAAAAAGTTGTAATTAAAAAAAAACTTTCAAACTTTCAATCATACAGTATTTTGTCTTTTATGTTACCTGAAGATCTATGTATCAGGTGCTGTTTGTGACTTCTTGCAAGTGATTTTGGCAGTGGCAGCTGTATGTTTTTATTCCAAATGTAAAGTACTTAAACCTAATCATTTCCAGATTAGCGAGCCTAGGCAAGAAGAGACACATTCATGTTAAATCAATAGAACATCAACATAAACCTTGATCATGGGCCAAAAAGAAAGAACAGAAAAATAAAAGAGAGAAATACAACCAACCACCTCCAAAATAAGGTGGGTAATTATTCATGGCAAAACTTTAAAAATATTTTATTATTTTACGTTGCCTTTTTTTAAGACATAAAAGTAGTATCATGTTCCACCTCACAATTACAAGCAGCAGTAGATTGGGTACAGTAAACTGGAATGTTATATAAATTAAGTGTGGCAGCACTTGTGTGCATGTTTCATGTGCACAAAATGAACATGCACACAAATGTGCAAAAATAAAGACTTACATATTTCTGGACTTCCATGTGAGATTGGTATTGTAGTGGACCTAGGTTGAGGAAGGTTTCCCTTAACTCATGCGGCTGGTTTCCTGTTGCATTATGCCGGAGACCCAGGTTCTCACCCCAGGTGCTGTGGGACGAAACAGGTGGTGTGAAGCGGTGGAGGGCACAAGCCTGTGTGGAACCGCAATGGTCACATTGGTGGCATGACCTGGATGGGAGCGTCCTTTGCCGAGGCGAAGTGAGCAGGGGAGGGTGTAGCGGAGCTAGTTTGGACACGATGATGTAATTGCCCCCCCTGCCCATAGCAGGGACCTCAGCTGCCTAGGCTGAGTGAGGTTTCCCTTAGCTCATGCGACTGGTTCCCTGTTGTGTTACGCCAGAGAACCAGGTTTGTGCCCCAGGTGTTGAGGGGCGAAACGGGCAGTGTGGAGTGGCGGTCACACTATGAACATTTGAAACCGAACTCTGTTCTCTTTCATTTTTCATTGTTAGCTAAAATTCTTGTCACCATCAGAAGCTGATCATGACAGAAAGGATCTCAACTCTGGCATTTCATTTTAAATAGGTTTGCAATATATCAGTCTTCAAACCGTCTGTTAAAATTCAATGTGTAGTTCATGTATTGTTTTTGCCTGTCCTTCAATAGATTTTGAACTGAAGCTGTTCCCAATGGAATCAAAAAAGGAGGCTATTAATGGTTCTTAATAGATCTTAATCTGTACTCCATGTTTTGCAGCTTTAAGAAATATTCTTAATGATGACGTGGAGACCAATAAAGCATTCATTTAATTTCATTTCATGTACATGTGGCACGTTTCAACCCAATACACTTTAGATATACTGTGTAGGAGAAGACACTCTTCACTCCTGAAGTGCAGAACCCACCTAGGTGACACATGGCAGCCATTATGTAGCACCAGCAAGTGAGAAAGCAAGCAAGTGAGAAATTGCTTCACTAATTAAATTAAAATTGATAGTAATCTTAATCTGTGATTCTCCAAGGCCAAGACAATGGGGTTAACATTTCTGACACTGCCATAGGATCTTTAAGGACCAAATAGTCAGGACCTCAGTTTAATGTCTCAATCGAAAGACTATACCTCCTACAGCAGAGTGTTCCCAGTAACCATGCCAGGGCATCGGTTTGAAAATTATCCAGAGGAGTACCACCTGTAGGTCCACAAATGTTATTTAAGCAGTATCTAATTGTCTTTAGAGACAATTCTAATTGTCTTCTCCCATCCCAGTACTGTTCAATCCCCAGTTTTGCTGCGATTCTGAAATCTGACAAGATCATATTGCAAGGTGTCAAAGCTGCTTCCACTGGGTTGCTGTCACAACATGCTGGTGTGAAAAGTAACTACTGTATGCTTGTTTTTAACAAAGGCAGTAATGCAAATGCATAAATTTAACCAAACCCCTGATCTACCTGTCTGTTGTGTTGATTGTTTTATTGTAAAGCTCCTTAAAATGATGTATGATGAAAGGTGTAACATAAAATAAAGATTATTATAGTTTTTAAAATTTATTTTGGTGGTTTAACATGAAGGAAATGTGGAAAAAAAACATTTTTTACACAGAATAATTTCAGATACCAACACAGAAGGCAAAGATTGTATGAAGGAAAAAATAATGTGGCAGTCTCTTCTGGTTGTAATGCTGGTGTTTTTGCCTTCTTAAGGGATTATAGCTGTGCAGTGATTGGACAGCTCTACTATAAGCAAAATATGTATCAGTAGTGCCAAGCCTACCGTGTAAACATCACTGTTAAGAGAGATATGAAAAGCATATTAAAGCATGTGTTCGTTAGAGTAAAGATATACCCAGCTCGTTAGGCAGATAGATTGTGCCTCCATATCAAGGCACTTAACATTCTTCTAAAATAAAACACAGATAACATAATTAAATTAAACATTAACTTTGTCTAACTGAAATTAAATAAAAGGGCAGGATTGCAATATATATTTTATATTATTCTCCAATTTGTATACATTTAAGCCATTTCACTCCTGAAGAGCCTGAATATAAAACAGGACAGAGGACTGTGGTTAGTCTTAAGTGGCTTTCTGTGTAGCAGCTGGGCAGGGAGCTGTATGTTGTGTGAGGATGGTACCATGGTTTGCATTGATAGTCTAGTCATGCAGGATAAGGACACTGACTGCCTGCTAATCTATTCCCAGATGGAGGTGGATGCAGACGAGAAGCGCCATCGCACACGCTCCAAAGGTATCCGAGGTACGTCTCCTGCTCTACTAAATCACTCAGGGCTGCGCTCAGGGTGACCTTCATCCTCCAATATCTCGCTGCACGTCTCCTTCTGACCTTTTTTTTACACTTACTCTCTTTTTCTGCAGAAAAAAAAGAAAGTTACCTGTGGTTGATGGTAATTATTTTTAATATATCTATGTATTTTTCCCATCTCTTCACAGTGCCCGTGGAACCAGTAATACAAGAGCTGTTCAGGTTAGTGTGTGCAGAGTAGAAAATGCATCTCCCCATTAGCGCTAGGGGAAAATTCGTGCCTGTTAATGGGTGTAATGCACTTTCGGTTTTCATTGTACACTGATGCACTGGTGAAATTAGCTCTCCAGAGACCTTTGCTGGAAATGTATTTGGCATCCTTTTTTCTTTCTCACTTCCTTTCTCCTCTCTCTATTTCTACTGCTCTTTTTTATATTCCTATCTTTATTTTGCCTCTAGTTTTTTTTTCAAATCAGATGGTAGAAGGCTATCTAAATTCGTTTGTGCATCCATGCTTTTGTGAGGCTGTGGTGGTGATTAAATGTGCAAGAAAGTGAATGCAACTCCCCCCGATGCAGTCTCTTAACCACAAATAAACTAGCCCATCACTGTCCATCATATTTCAGTGTCGAAACCAGTGAAACAACCTATAACAGGCATTTCCTTATCAAGTTTTGTTTACTTGTTTTTCCTTGTTGATATCAGACACTCAGTTTCAGTCACCCAACTAATGTTGGGTAGGTTTGGTAGGACCTAGTCCCCTCCTTTAAGAGGAAGGTCTCTTCTATGAACTAAACATATGTTGATATTTGTTAAAATAACATGAATCAACTAAAGGAAATGGGCAATTGTTCTGCTAATACATAGTTACTGTATTTTAATGGTCTACAAGAAGAGCAGTGCTTGTGCCTTCTTTGTTAGGAGAAGTATGCCACTGATACTGCCTATTTAAAGTCAGTAACTATTTAAAAAAAAACTATTTTTAAATAGATAACATATGATTTATAATTGCCCTTAATCACTTTATGTGTCTTCCTTATGAAGTCCATAATGCTAAACTCATGTTACCAATGTGAGACATTTTGTGTTTTAAAAAACCATTCTGACCATTTCAAACAACTATGACTTTACAGAAAAATGGGAAATGCTTCATTGATTGATTAAAAATAATTAAATGGGAGAAGAGTAATTCAGTAGGATCAGTATTTTAATTCAGTATATACAGTATATCTACAGTACATATGATTTTTTTTATTTTAAGGTATAATATCCTTCTAATGTCTCCTCAATAAGGGAAAACTATTTTACAAGTAGTGTATCATTGGTATCAATGAAAGGGTTAAAATTACATTTACTGTACATTTAGGGTTGCTTATGCTTGTTTTCCATTTTATACAGTATATGAAAAAATAGATCCTCTAATTAATTAAAAAGTTTTTTTTTTAATCCATAAGAAAGCTCAAAAACGTTGTTTTAAAATTGGGAATTTTTAAATGTTCCAGAGAATTGCCGTTCATCAACAATTATGCTCCAGGATTTTCAAATAGCTTGCAATTACATTTCTTATGAAAATCCAGAGGCTTCTCCTGGAAATTGGAACATAATTATCAAAACCTATAGGTCATAGGTCATTTGTTAAGAGTTCTTCTTCTTCCTACAAAAATGTGATTTATATATGTTACTATTTTTTATGTTTCTTCTGTCCAAAAGTGTGTTTTACATGTACAGCTGTCCAGCATTGCTTTTGTTTTTCAATTACCAGCATTGGTACTGGGATAGTTTTCTTTGCTTGAACAACCTCACCAAAAAAATGAGTTATTTTTTTCCCACAAAATTTAATACTTATTTCTATGGAAGCCCGTTTCCGCCAGGGAGTAAAAAAAAAACGCGCTATGGTATCTCAGAATTCCGACTTAGTAAGTCAGAATTCCAACTTAGTATCTCAGAATTGCGACTTAGCAACTCAGAATTGTGACTTAGCAACTCAGAATTCCGACTTAGTATCTCAGAATTGCGACTTAGTAAGTCAGAAATCCGACTTAGTATCTCAGAATTGCGACTTAGCAACTCAGAATTCCGACTTAGTATCTCAGAATTGCGACTTAGCAACTCAGAATTCCGACTTAGTAACTCAGAATTCCGACTTTATATCTCACATTTGCGACTTCGAAATAGCCATATTTCATTGTCTGTCCTTTTGTTATTGTAACGGATTCGGGTTCTAGGGCTTGTGCCCTCGCCACTCCCACCCTAGATCGTGCCTCGCCTCGGCACGAATTCTGAGTTGCTAGGTCGCAATTCTGAGATACTAAGTCGGAATTCTGAGTTGCTAAGTCGCAATTCTGAGAT